TCCTGCGGTGGGCGGAATATAGAGAGCGCAAGGGGAGCGCCATCCGGGCCGGGATGACAAAGCTCCTCGTGCGTGAAGGGCTCGCCCGCAAGCGCGTCTTCGGCCGTCCATATCTTGTCCTGCTTAGCCCGAACCGATGGCAGAATGTCGAGAGTGATTGTAGATGGGATGGATATTTCTTGAGCATTGCGTTTAGCTCTCGATCGTACGGAGGCTGGACGATTGTAGTCATGATGAAAACACTCATCACCTTGAAAAGCTTCCGGTATAATATTCCCTTCAACAATGATGTCTATTTCTTGTATCGCGTCTATTCGAAAGCTGCTAGGAAGTGTCTAAAGGGTAGTGCCATAATTCGATTTTTATATTTCGTCGCTAATCATAGACTTTTTCATCCTCCCTTCGCTTTTTAATCTTCTATTTCCTTCCTTAGCTGTTTCCCTTGGTCAGTTCTCCCTTCGATAAATTACTCCCTCTAATGAAGCTGTATTAGACATGAGTAATTTTCCTTAGCTGATCCTCTCTTGATTAGCCCTCTTTTTCGCCGACGCGTGGGCCGATCAGCTTTCGAAGCCGCTCATCGGGATCCGGGACGGCTACCGGATTTGTTTCTCCCCGCTCCTCGCCCCTGCCTAGCTACGTCACTGCGGTAAGTGGCTCGTTCGTGCGGGATCCCAGCTCGCTCATTGTTCCATCCAGGGCACGTGTACTGCGAGGGCTGTCTTTCCAAGTAGCGTCAAGGGCGAGGTCTGGCAAACTCGCGGTGCTCAGTGTGCCGAGAGCCGTGCTGCTCTAAAGTCTTGTGTAAGGATCATAGGCGTATCCGGTCTTTGATTTAGGCCATGTCTCTTCTCCTAGTCACATATTATGTTTCAAGTCAGGTGCTGAGCATACGAAATAAAAACCTGATTAGTCGGTCCTTTTTTTCTATTATTATCTTAGATACCACGTTGCGTGGGGCTACCTTCTAGATATCCTCTTCTAGGAGTTCTACCTCTTATCTCTTCCATCCAAGGCTCATCGAAGCCCATGCGAACCGGAAAGCACTGTGCCTATTTGGGTTAGGGTCAAATATATGATCTGCGTCGACTACATTCTCTAGCACGACGGCGAAAGACTTCCACTCTTCGCAATAACAGATCGAACGTAGCGCCGAAGCGCTGTTGTAAATTTCATATCCGATCTGTTGTTAAAGCTTGAAGACGCGGGTATCTAATCTCATACTCCTTTTCCTTCGCTACTGGCGGTGTGATGTCCTGCCTTGCTGTCATAGACGAATTCAGGGTTCCTGACGATTGTCAAGCTTAAGTGCTGCCAATCGCTGTCTCGCGGTGCGAAGTGCAGAATTGATATCGGGTGAGCTCGTCCGCCTCGGATATCGAATTGGCCGAACTCTCCCTGCTTGAACCACCGCCGTCCCCGCCGGTTCGGGCGAAGGGTTTGGCATCTTTGCTATGGCTATTCGAACCTGTCTCTGTAAAGCTAGATGCCCGGCGAGCCTGCGCAGAAAGTCCGTATGGTTCCTTAATTTGCTGGCATTGCAATCTCGTAGATGGCACAGCTGATCCTCGGTTATGGAAAAACTATCATGCCAATTACTTATGCTCATTCTTTTCTAGATCAAATCTACCATAGAAGCAGGCCCATCAAGCGTTGATGATTCGGTATTTTATTATTTAGGAATCGTAATACTATATATAATACATAGTATACAAAGCGGGCCCAGATCTAGGTCATAGGCGCGACTTAATATCCGAATATACGCTTTAAAACGCACATGCAGCACTAAGGCACTAAGGCATTAAGGACCAAGTTTACAATCCACGCCAGATGCGATACATGTTTTAGGACAAAGCATGATCAGCATATCCGTATCTTCACAAGCCAGGCTAATCCTCATATATTTTATAACAATACAAACCATGATCATTCCCTCTATCCTAACTAGCCGCCCCGGGGTCGGCCCTAATTTCTTTCCCCATTACAAGACATCGCTATCATGCAAGGCAATGATACTGCCTAGAAGCCAATAGTGCATCGTGGTTAGCATATCATGACGCTGCAGAGTAGTGAGATTACTATTATTGCGATCTTGGCCGTTATCGAGACGTATCCACCATGCGTGCTAAGGATACTAACAAGGCTCGAAAGTAAACAGATAAAAGAATAAGAAAGACCTAGCCTTGCAGAATTTATTAATATACCTATGATAGATGAACGAAGACGTACGTACAGAAAGAGGTGGCTTATGAGCCATATATAATTTTCTCGATGCTTCCACCACAGAAAGCAGGTTCCACTCAGACCTATCAGGCAAAACGTACCGGCTAGCGGCAGAAGCTGGAGATTTCGAACGGCTTCCTGGACGATTTGGCCCCCCGGGTTTGCACCGAGAGCAGTCGAATTCTGAAGGGAGGTAAAGGTATCCGGCAACGTAACGAACCCGGCGCAGGTTAACCAGGCAAATAAGGCTGCTAAGATATTGTGGCCTGCCTCGATCTGGTTTGCCTCCAGAGACATCGAAGTAAACCGTGTCTGCGGGGCTGCAGGACTGCCGCAGGAGGCGGGTCATGTTAGGAGCACTCTGAACACCTACTTTAAAGATCTTCTTAGTTATCTTATTGCCAGAATGGAGAATTCTATATTGATATACAAAAATAGATATATAAAATAACCTTCCTTTATACATTACTCCTATTTGATAGATTCATATGTACTGTAATGGCAGAAAGACCAGAACAAGGCATGCAAAGACATGTTGGTCCAATATATGGTTGTAATAACCATGTGGATAAGATGACCTAAGCAGCTATATTAATAGCTAAGAAAGGAGGAGATAGGCAGGGGGGTAGAAGATGGTCTGGGCTGGGTTTAAGCCATTTTAATCTTAATAGAGATGCACCTAGGTAGATTTGGATGCGGGATGATACCTAATAACGGCAAATATTATAGCCTAATAACCATTTAAAAACTTAATAATTATTTTTAAACAATTAAAACTCAAATAATCATGAGAAAAATAATAATGATTATTGTCTTTTGTAGCTGATAAAGGGTTGTCGCCAGGTGGTCTCCACGATAATAAGGTCAGTGATACTATAGTACCTACAACCAACACACTTTTACCACCAAATTCTTCAAACTTTTAAGATTCTATTACCTTCAACGTCACTCTCCCTTGTACGCAAACACACATTAGCACTAGCAATAGCAAAAGGCCTATACCGCCGGCAAAACCTTATTATAAACGAGCTAGCGGCGCTACGGTTGAAAATGTCAACATATTCTTCGATCGATTGGAGATACCGGAGATAGCCTCGATACCACCCGAACATTCATACAACGGAAACGAGATGGGTATGATGGAGGGGATTTGTGATGCTTATAGAAAGCATATACTGGTTAAAGGCGGCAGCAATCGAATTTGGACGATATTAGAGTGTATAAGTGGTATAAGTGTTGTTATAGACCCACTTATTATATTTGCGGCTTAAAATATACAACAACAGTGGTTCCCCGACGAGCTCGACGATAGATTTAAAGGCTGGCACTTTGGCCCATCCGAAAACGGGTGGACCAATAATAAAGTAGCCCTCAAGTAGCCCTCGAGTAGCTCACTGAGGTCTTTATACTGAAAACAATACCAAAAGATCGTGATTAGTGGCGGCTCCTTCTTATGGATGGCCACCAAAGCCATTGTACCCCGGAATTCCTGGAATTGATCATTTGCCTAAGAATAGACTCAAAACCGGCAACATCTTTTTCACACGGATAGATGCCTAGAACAGACGTTGGTAGTATCCTGCATATAGGATCACGCGGTTATAACTTAATAACCTACTATTGGAAGACGTTGGCCAAATGAGAGATTGGTGAAATGCTAACGCATACCTGAACCCGAGATAGTCAGGTATCAAGCGCTTATAGCGCTTAAGAAGTATTATTGTATATAGAAGGGATTAAGCACTAATAGATGCAGGATTCCCACTTCAAAAAAGAAGGAGGAATCTAAGGACCTTAGACCCTTGAAGACTTATTAGTAAAAATCTGAATTCGTTCCAAGCCCTTTGATCGCCTTTGTTCCTATTTATAATTAGTATCGATGTTATTTTCGGTTACTTTAAGTTAGGTATACCAGGGATAAAAAGCCAAGTGGGAAGTAGTAATACAGCCTACTGTATCTTTATTTGATTATATATGACCGGTAGTGTTTCATTTTGGGATATTTTATAGCGAGTGAAAAAATCTCGAGTCCTTGCCAGTTCAAATGTCGCAAGTCGAGGGGAGTCATAGATGTCTAGTGCCGTCCTAAGCTGCTTAAGGTTTAATGAAATTGAGTTTAAGGTACTTATCTTGCTGGTGTAGCCGGTTTCTGCTACTATTACATGCCTTGACCTTCTTTTCGACCTCAAAACAACCCTGCTTTAGGACCCGAATAACGTCCAAGGTAAGTACAAAATAAGGATTGAAAAAAACTATATTAATAACTATAAATTTTATTAACCCTTTTTTGATATATTTAATCGATTAATAACTAATTATAATAATCTAAATATTTTTATGATAAATTATAATGGCTGATAATTTGAAATTTCGATTTCTAAATGAAATTAACGCGATGATCGCTTGTGATATAGGCGACATCGGTATGCTTGCTGTTGCTGTGTAGAATGGATTGCCGGTGCCGGATGACCTAGTCGACATCTAAACAGTACAGTCGGGACCCTCGTTACCGCTAGCTAGCATAGCTCCCTAGTCCATCCCACATCATTGGCGAAAAATTGGTTTATATGCCAGCGTTTCGTCGACCATATCTTCATCGTCTTTTTCGGATACTGCATTTCCCATAGTGGCCGCTGAGTTAAACGTAGAGTTATCAGAAACCGAATCAGTAAAGTCGGAAATGTTCGTTATGCCCGCGTCCTTCGCGATATTTGCTATCTCCTTTTCATATTCGGGAACAACGCCGAACTGGTGTAACATCCCATCGTATGTGAGCCACTTGCCGAGCTTCGCGATTTGACATGCTAGCTATAGGATCCTTTCCTTGCGATCATCTGTCATAGAGGCCACTTCAAAATACTTCTCGTTATTGTCGATCTTATCGTTACTGAACTAATTTACTGGAAAATACTTATCTACCCAGATAAGGCCCTTTATGGCAAAATCTTCTGGTAGCGGACAAGGAGCAAGTTCTCTGTCCTAAGGAATTGTTTATTATATATTCTATAATGTTCTCTATAGGAGAGGAATAAGCAGTTAAGTTAGAGAAATATTAGTTTCCAAGGGATTATCTTCTTAATAAAAGATATTAAACTTAGGTAATATATAAGATAAAATATGAAAACCATGACAACATACAGAAACAGGAAGATCTACAGGATATTATGTTAGCTAAAAAGACCATTTGAGCCCATAAGTACCATTTACATTAAGGTCACCTAATTTATGCAAAATAATATCACAGATGCCTTCAAAGAGTTTTAACACTCCCTCTTCGATCCTACTTATCTTATACAAGGCTAAGGGGTTTTCAATGATTGGCTCAGTTATATCCTCTGTATGGGGGTGGAACCCCTTTAGAAGAATATTGTCTTCTTGACTGTAAGATCCTATACACTTTTACAAAGGCCATATCAATTACGATCAACCGAGAATGCTGGATACTAGTCGAGTCCAGAATAAAGTCAAATAAGATCATAATTGATTCCCGCGCTGAGCTAAATGGAATGGGTACGCAGAGAGATTTGGTGTAATAATATAGTTGTTGAAGAGGATTTAGTCTGGCAAGGATTACGACGTCGAGCTGCTTCTTAGTTAAGATAGTGTATGAAAGGAGAAAGATGAGCTTCATTTCCCGCATACGGTCCCAGTTTGGTGCCAACTTGGTGCGGCTT